AAAAAAAAAAAAAAAAAAAAAAAAAAAAAAAAAAAAAAAAAAAAAAAAAACAGAGTAAAAAAAAAGAGTTGAAGCAATAAACTAGCTGGAAAAAAATACAAAAGCAAATAATGACATACAGTCAGATATATGTAGTAATTTAAACTTGTTTTACTTCTTCTCAAAAGTGTAATATAAAATACCTGATACTTAAACTGATAAAATAAATAAAATAAGTTTGAAGTCAAAAACACAGCAATAAAGTTAAAAAAGCATTATAATAACATTAATTGAAATTATAACTAAAACTGTAATTCTCTGCATCTTCATATTTATAGATTTCAAACTTAAAAAAACAGAGAAAAAAAGAAAGAAAAGATTTGAAGCAAAAAGCTAGCTGGAAAAAAAATACAAAAGCAAATAATTAAATATAGTCAGATATATAGTATTTAAAGTTGTTTTATTTCTTCTTAAAAGTAAGTGTAACATAAAATGCCCATACAAGAATTTTAAACTGATAAAATAAATAAAATAAGTTTGAAGTCAAAAACACAACAATAAATTTAAAAAAGCATTATAATAACATTAATTGAAATTATATAAAAAACTGTTATTTGCTGCATCTTCATATTTATTGATTTTAAACATAAAAAAACAGAGTAAAAGAGAAAGAAAAGAGTTGCTGGAAAAAAAAAACACAAAAGCAAATAATTACATACAGTCATATATATGTAGTAATTTAAAGTTGTTTTATTTCTTCTTAAAAGTGTAATATAAAAAGTATAAACTAGACTTTTAAATTGATAAAATAAATAAAATAAGTCTGAAGTCAAAAGCACAGCAATAAATTTAAAAAAACATTATAATAACATTAATTGAAATTATATCCAAAACTGTTATTCTCTGCATCTTCATATTTATTGATTTTAAACATAAAAAAACAGAGTAAAAAAGAAAGAAAAGAGTTGCTGGAAAAAAAAACACAAAAGCAAATAATTACATACAGTCAGATATATGTAGCAATTTAAACTTGTTGTACTTCTTCTCAAAAGGGTAATATGAAATGCCTAAACTAGAATTTTAAATTGATAAAATAAATAAAATATGTCTAAAGCCAAAAACAGAACAATAAATTTAAAAAAACATTATAATATCATAAATCGAAATGATAGGCATAACCAAAACTGTTATTCTCTGCAGCTTCAGGTTTATTGATTTCAAACTTAAAAAAAAAAACAGTAAAAAAGAAAGAAAAGAGTTGAAGCAATAAACTAGCTGGAAAAAAAACACAAAAGCAAATAATTACATACAGTCAGATATATGTAGTAATTTAAAGCTGTTTTATTTCTTCTTAAAAGAATGTGTAATATAAAATGCCTTAACTAGAATTTTAAATTTATAAAATAAATAACATAAGTTTTAACTCAAAAACACAACAATAAATTTAAAAAAGCTTTATAATAACATTAATTGAAATTATAAACAAAACTGTAATTCTCTGCTTCTTCATATTTATTGATTTTAAACTTAAAAAAACAGAGTAAAAAAAAAGAGTTGAAGTATATATTAATACTCAATTAATAGTATATATTAAGAGTATATATTAATATTTACAATATATTAAAAGTAAAATAATATTTGAAAAATTATTCATATAACTATGAAAACAACAACCATTCCGTAAATAATACTATAGAGAGAATAAACAACTACTTCTCTTTAATGTGAGATTCGTGCAAAATCAAACAAAGTAAATTTACTTAATAGAGAAGTTCAAATATTTAAACAAAATCATATAAAGCCTGGCATAGTTAAAATTGAAAAATAACACTAATTTGCACAATATAATATGATAAACATTATAAATCAAACAATATGACCCAGAGAATGCAAATATAAAAATAAACATCCTAAAAATTAAGACTCACAAATATGTCATTTTATTATCCTGCGTGTAAGATTAGTAATATGCTAAAAAGAGATCAGCTGAAAATAACATCAATTTGCACCACAGTACAATATCATAAACATTATAAATCAAACAATATGACCCAGAGAATACAAATATCAAATATAATAAACATCCTAAAAATTAAGAATCACAAATATGTAATTTCATTATCCTGTGTATAAGATTAGTTATATGCTAAAAAGAGATCAGCTAAAAATAACATCAATTTGCACCACAATACAATAAGATAAACATTATAAATCAAACAATATGACCCAGAGAATACAAATATAAAATAAACATCCTAAAAATTAAGAATCACAAATATGTAATTTCATTATCCTGTGTGTAAGATTAGTTATATTCTAAAAAGAGATCGGCTGAAAATAACATCAATTTGCACCACAATACAATATCATAAACATTATAAATCAAACAATATGACCCAGAGAATACAAATATCAAATAAACATCCTAAAAATTAAAAATCACAAATATGTCATTTTATTATCCTGCGTGTATGAAGATTAGTAATATGTTAAAAAGAGATCAGCTGAAAATAACATCAATTTGAACCACAATATAATATCATAAACATTATAAATCAAACAATATGACCCAGAGAATACAAATATAAAAATAAACATCCTAAAAATTAAGACTCACAAATATGTCATTTCATTATCATGTGAATAAGATTGGTGATATGCTAAAAAGAGATCAGATAAAAAATATAATTAGAATAGATTTATGATACAGTTGAACCACATTAACACGAAACTGCATAACGTGAAATATTGATTTACATGAAACACATGTTTGGTCCAGTGAGTCAACTATGAATTATTGTTGTATTTTACATGTTTAATATGAAATTTTCAAGCTGATTATCTCTTAACATGAAAGGTTGCCACTCGAATCAGGAGAAGCAAAAAAATTCCCTCTCTTTTCCCTGTACATATTAAAAATTCCCTGTATTTTCCAGGTTTTTTCTCTGTTCTCCTTGAGGAGTGGCAACCCTGAAAGTATATTGCACTCAAATTTTTAGGGAAATTTGAAACCAGAAAAAAAAGAGAGTAAAATGTTTTTTACCTGTTCCAAGTAACTCGTGATGGGGAGATCAGGATCGTAGTTTGCGGCTTCATTAAAGTAAGTAGAGTAGATTTGTCTGGTTTCTTCATTATGCAATTCACTGACCGCTGGTCCCTCAGTGATGGCAGTACTATTATCGTCAACATCCTCCAAGGTAGTGAGGCTGACGGTTGAACCGGGCAATTCTAAGGTCTGTCTCCTAGTCAAAAACTAAAGAACAAATTGTCAAATGCTTAGTCTTCAGCATGTGGGAAGGATGCACATGCTACAAAAACTAAAAAATATTAATGACCCCAGTGACATAGTTTTTTCAGTTGGTTTTCTCCTCTGCAGAAATTGTTGCTCTATTTTTTATTTTCATTTAATATTTTTAATTTCCACATAGTTTTGAAAATCCTATAATTTTAATACAATATTATTTATTACAACAACGGAATCTCGAAATGAAAACAAGTATTTAGTAATCCTTTTTTGACCAGTCCAATTAGCGTGATTTTCTCCATCGGTTGTTACTGCTACGGATTTCAAGATTTTTTATTATCATTTTTTTTAATGTGAGGATGATTTACAAAAAAGGAAATGATTAGTGTGGTTTTCACCCTACGAAATTGGAGAATGTCACCAATAATATTAGAATTAAAAAAATATCACATATTCAAATTTCTTTTAAGTTATTTTATTAAAAAAGTTTTTTTTTTATGTTGAAGCTTCGATTAGTTTAAATTGGTAACATGTATACAGTCAGACCTCAATATAAGGTCACCCTAAGGGACATGACATTGCAAAAGTGACCTTATAAGCGGGGTTACCTTTTAACAGATTCATTAGCAGTTCATAACTAAGCACGTAAATAGTGCACATTACGATTTTTAAAAATGGTAATACAGACGAAAACAATCGGTCATAAATTAAATATTTAAGTCAATAAATTTTAACAGAATTAATAAATTAAAGAAAGTTAGATTTTTGAAAAAAAAAATTAATTTAAAGTAAAGCTGTTTACAAATTTCCTCAAAGTTTATAGACATACATTACATCTAACCTTATTTAAAATAATCATTTATGCAGGTTCGTCTCATTTTTGGCTTCATTTTTCGAACAATGTTTTCTAGATTTTGTAACTTCTCAAAATGTTTCTCCGCTCCCTCATGGTTTGTAAAAAAATTTCGTTTGACATTTATTGCATTGAAGCTTTTCCTTTGAGTTACAGCTACAGTCTCAGGATCACTGTCATTGTCCACAACTTGTGAAACTTGTAAAACAATTTCAGAAATTGTAGCTTCAGAAGTGGTGGCAATTTCCTCATCAGTCAAACCATATACAGCCTCCTCTTCAATGGCATGGCCACGATTTTCCAAATCTTCCATCAGAACAGATAGAGGAATATTGTCTTTTTCTTCGGTTTTGTCATCCATGATATTCAGAGAACTCACAAAACGTGCATGACGAAAACAATTTTCTATGTATGTGGTGGACACCATGTTACGCCTCAGATAAAAATGACCTTATAAGCAATAACGATTTTTAAAACTTGACCATATATCCGATAATCTGTAACAAATAATTCCTATTCAGTCAACCGGAATTTTGGAAAAGTGACCTTATATATGCGGTTGACCTTATATCGAGGTCTGACTGTATTTGTTATTACTAAAAGTATCTTGAAGAAAGATATTGTTAGTACTAGAGAGGTAAGTCGAAGAAAGACTGAAAAAATTCTGCCAACACAATTTTTAAAAAAGCTTTAAATTCAAAAATTCAACATACTTGTTCATTCTTTTCTTTATCCAGATACTTTTTAACATAAACATAACATTAATGAATTAAATACCTTTTACTATTCAAAATTATGCGTAAACATAATAAATAACATTTCAAGTTCATTTAATGTCAATCATACCTGGAAAATATTGCAGTTTTTCTGTTTTGATGACTGTAAAATTCTCTATGTGAAAAATATTTAGCACATTATGCAGCAATTATCATGAAATTTATAGAATTTTGTAAAATCCACTGGATTTTTTCCTAGCCATGTTTGTTTAATAATTTATATATTTATCATAAAGAATTTTAACAAAACAAAGCACAACATTCTATTCCTTAATAATCAAATAATGGTTATTAAAATAACTTACTTTGGATTGGTAGGACGTGGCGGAGGAAACTGCTGCATATTATTGATGCCAGTACCACCTGTTGCAGTGGGTGCCACATTTAAATCTTCCAACTGGGCATTTAGGCCAAAAAAAGAGTTAATATGGTCCAATGTGATGGACATCTTTACTAGAAATAAAAAAAGAATTTTAATATTAGTTTTTAATTAATCTACAAACTACAAAATAATACAATTAGTTTATAGAGTATAAAAGATAATACAATTAATCTTCAATATAATACAATTAGTCCATAGACTAAACAGGATATAACCTACAGTGTTCATTCTACACAAAGTTGGCCCTTTTGATGAAAGATTTACTCTTTTGAGCCTATAAACCAGGGGTCCCCAACCCGAATTGTTTATTGCTAGTATTAAACATGTGTACTTATTGTTTTAAAATAAATAAATTTGTATCTTGAAAATAGCCTTTAAATTTTTATTTGTAAAATATTATTAAATTGTGTCCTATTGAATTTTGGAAAAAAAAATTTTTTTTCTGGAAATTAAATAATGCATTTGTTAATATTCTTTTGACATTTATGAAAAGAAATTTTATCATTAGTGCACAACTAATGATCGTGTTATTAATACACAAGTCCATAATACTTTCACACAATATGATGACAGATTTGTTTTGTTTTTTTTCAGTGACGTGGCTTTCTAAATTTCGATATTTCAAATTATTACAATACAATGATTATATATTTGAGAACTTACTTTTCAAGACACGATCAATTCACTACAAATCATCGCATTTTTCACGTAATTTTTTAAACTCCAATGTTTTGCATTAAAACAACATTATTATAACACATAAATTTCAATTTCACCTTCTTCAGGTAAAATTGAATTTTATGTGTTGTGACAATGTGAACAACACATAAGATTTCCAGATTTGAGTGACAACCATGTCCAGGTAATAAACACTGGACACGGTTGTCACTTAAATCTGGAAAAGAAGTTCCCCGTGATTTCCATACACAATACATAAAGAGGAAACACAAAACAACTGTGCAAACGTGTGATCTTATATTAAGATAACTAATACTAGTTTCAATTGCTGGAAAAACTTAGAGAAATAGAGAACAGTTCAACATACATAAAAAATAAAAAAAATAATTATACAGCAAATGAAATAGTATAGTACCTACGGCTGAACTATCTTTAAATCTTAATTTGCACATTGAAAGGTCAACATTTTGTAAAAGAAAAAAAATAAATAAAAATTCCCTGTATTTGCACAGTTTAAAATGAAACATTCAAAATTCCTTGCATTTTCCCTGTGGAGTGGCAACCCTGCAGGGAGTCGTCCTCCCTGCATTATCTTCTCCCTCCACTCATACCTTCCCCCTTGTCATCAGGGGTCTGTCCAAACATTTTGTAAAAGGTCCTGTTTTTGCAAAATTGTGAAAAAATGACTTGTAATTTGTGAATATAATATAAACGTTAAGTCACATTCTTTCAACTAGTGTCCTGCTTTTGTGAATTTGTGCAAATAGGGCCCTGCAATTGCAAAAAACTTTTTCAAGAAGTTTTTAAATTGTAAATAGATATAAGATTATGCTCAACACTGTAAAATTATAATTAAAAAAATTAAATTTTCAAAAATAAACAGCAATTGCTGCTACTAAATTAGGGATGCAACATACAAATATTTGGCATTTAGCCTACACTGCTGAAAGCAGAATATTAATTTCGGACGAATAAAGAAAGAAGCGTCAGCCGAAGACAAAACTTAGTTCGTTTACATCTGCTTCACCCCCCACCCGGGAAGGGTTTATTCGATTAACAAAACAATAATGAAGATAAACAAATATGTGAAGGGTCCGATTAAAAGATAAATTATTTTGTGAAGGGTCCGTTTTTAAGTTAAAATATTTTGAGAAGGGTCCGTTTTTAAGAAAAGATATTTTGTAAGGGCCTGTTAATGGACCCAAATTTCTTCTAAACAGACCACTGAGATCTCAGCAAAAAATTTATGACAACCATTTTTGCTCTAGGGAATTTAAATATTGAATGACCAAAAAAAATATACATATTCTTGGAAACAGAACTAACTAGAATCGTGTCATGTGTTTTATTATTAATAATTACAGACTATCAAAGACTAATTTTTTTACAATAAATTCTAAAATGAACTATATCAACTAAAGAGCGCTTTAAAATTAAATATAAAATATTTGGCTTAATAAAGAATGTTTTAAATTTCACATAATTTACAAAAATCAAGTTACTATGTGAAATCAATGTCGCTTTAATAACATTTCCAAAAAATTGAGGACATTTTTACTTTTTCAAAAGGCACCTCAGGGAAGCAGGGGTGATTGTGAGCCCAAGTCGAAATTCCGGAAAATTTCTTGAGTTTAAAAAAAAAAGTTTAAATGGAAAAAAAATTTAAAACAAGTTTTTTTTCCTTTTTCTGAATATTTCTTAGTTTAATTAAAATATATTTGAAATTTTACACACACCTGGAGAAGTAATTAAAATTTACAAACGTGTCTTACTTTCTTGAGTTTATGATTATAGTAACTATTTACTGATAAAAAAATTAATATTAATCATGAATATAAGCTTATAAAGTATCTCTCTGGCTTTCCCTTATAAACAAATAAAATAAACTGAGTTTTTAAGTTCCACCTTTGAAAATTTGATTTCCGGAAACTTCGGTGATCAACTATTTTTTGAAACGTCTGAACCTTCGATCTCCGGTAACTCCAGGATCACTGTTACCGAAAAATCCGGATTTTTTCCAGAGCACAATCAGCCCTGGGGAAGTCCCCCTCTGATGATATTTCTTTATTGTGATCTGCCACGCTAACTACAATAGCCGAGGTGCCACATTTTTTAATAGGAAATATTTAATGCAGAAGTTTACAGGGATCGGAAGTTGCCAAGACTTAGGGGGAAAATTCACCCTGGGTCCCAAACTTCCAGCCCGACCCAGAGCTAAGTTAACAGATAAAAGAGCCAAAGCGTAATGCCTCAAAAGTCCTCTTTATTGCTTTGATTAAAAAGAATCAATCAAGCGTCAGAGTGCATTGCCAAATTATTCAACAAAAAATAAGCACTCAAATAATATTTTTTAAAAGCACTTTAAAAAAATCCCAATTAGGCAGAATTGGAAAGCGTTTGACAATTGACGGTTTTATCTGGTTTTAACCGTCATTTCAAAAACAAAAACTTTTGGCATTGTTTTAGACAATTGTCACAATTTTTTAATCATATAAATCGAATGGCATTTTAATACGTTACGGACTGACGATCTGCAGAAATAGATTGGAGTTGAATTAATTGCGAAAACGTTGAATAGAACAATGTGAACAGTGTCTCTCTGCATACTTCGTAGAGAAATTTAACACGGTAAAGAAAAAATCTCATTTTGTAAACGGGAAATATTAAGCACTTTTTAAAAACATCCAATGAAAAATGCACCTTTAAGTACTTTTTACAAACGCTACGCACCCTGAGCGTGTTAAGAAGTTTATCCTTTCTCAAATAAACACAAAACAGAGATTGTTGTGTAATTAAAAACAGTTGGAAGTTATTCCTTGCTTCGGAAACCGCCTTACTTATGAGGAAACAAACGCTCAAACAATTAAGAGGTTTCACCCTGAGTAACAGAATTGAAATGATAGCATGCTTAACTCCTCGCAACGTTGCTAAAATGTGGTGTTTATAATGCAGGCGTCGTTTTATAGCGGACAGGAGTTAAATACAGCGTGAAAAATATTCACAAAAATCTGCTTCGTAACCAATTTAGCCGTAAACAATACGCCACTGAAAATTCTGCTGAAACAATTGGCAAATCTCATAACTAATAATATAGTTTATAATCATCCGAAGTTTACTACTTAACTACAGTTAACAAGCATAGAATATTACAAAATGCGGAATAAAAATTACCAGAATAAATGTTTCTACCTTTAAATTTTTCCAACCGAAATTTAGTACCTTACAAGTCCTACTTTCGTATCGTATAAAAATGATGGTAGAATTGATGAATGCCACCATGCAGTTTTGGAACTCTTTGCAGTATTTCGCTTATCGCAGAACGAGTGATAGGCTGTAGTTGTAGTACATTTACATCGTACAAGAGCTGCACAATGGGCTACTAGCGACGATCTGGGAAACATCCCTGAGGATAATCCGGAGACATGCCATCGCAATTTTGATCCTCGACTGAGGATGGCTCCCCCGCTTCGGTAGCCCGACGACTTGCACGCGAAGTCGAGCACTTTACAGTAAAACAAGTTAACGCGGGCCAATACCGCACACTCTCGGTCCCAACACACTACACAAACTGATCCAAGTGATCACCCACCTGCACACTGACCGCAGCCAGTTACGGCTGGACACCGGTTATCGGTTGGAACCGTGTATTAGCAATCAGTTCACTGGGGGACGAATAGTGATAGTGACAGGATAAAGTTTACAGAAAATAATAGTTTTTAGGAATCCGAGAACTCAACGATTTATAGAGGACGTTGTTATCTAAGACGAATGACAGCTAGCAAAACAACACGATCATCAGTTGCACTGGAGATTTCTTCATTGTACCATTGTAACGTTTCCAACTTTATATAGCTGCTTACT